CCGAGGGCTGGTCAGAGCAGGAGTCCTGGACCGGGGGCAGCCTGCCGCTCAGGGCTCAGCCGCCTCGGGCTGTAAAACGACATCTTGTCGGACTCCGACCCTGCCTGTTCGTTACAGAGCATCGTTACAGAGTTCGTTACAGAGAACTACAGTTGGGAAAGGAGCGGAAAGCCACCTGTCACCCCCCCCAGAAGGGAGGGGTGAGTTTTTCCGTCCTGGGGCGACATCTTGTGCGTCCTCAAACGTCCTCAAACGCTCCGCAGGCTCTGCCAGCGCCGTGCCTGAAGCACCCCACAAGGCCGGGGCCAGCCCGTGGGGTCGGGAGCGCCCTGGCCCCCGCCTCCCTGCATTCTGGGAATCAGTGCTGCGGTGGGCGCCTGGGGCCCGCGGTCCTGCTCTCCTGGCCCCAGAGGTGAAGGCTGCCCGGGGCAGGGCAGGCCTGCGCCAGGCCCCAGGGAGGGTCCCTCGCCCTCGAGGGCCTCTCCCCTGCCCGAGTCTCGGGTCACCGGCCGCACCCTCAGCCCCAGCCGGGATAAAAACGTGCCTGGCGCTCACGGGGAAAGAATGCGGCCACCTGCTTCTGGCCCAGCTTCTCCCCCGCCCCCAGCGGGCCCAGCCTGAGGTGGGCAGTTGTGATGCTGCCGACCTGCCTCCGGCTTAGGGGCGCCAGTGCGCGGGGTCACAGGCAGCATGGGGTCACCGGCTTCCTCCTGAGCCAGGCGGCCTCAAGGGCCCTGAGCCAGGGACATTGGCCCTCATGGGCCCAGCGGTCCCCAAGGTGGGGGAAACGGCCCCACCTCCGGAGCGCCTCTTCTCCCAGAGTGCAGCTGACCAGAGGGGGCCGGACGGGGTCCCCACCAGGCGAGCCACTGGTGACTCACTTGGTTTGTTTTAAAATAGCCAACCCTTTGATCCCAAGGCCTCGGCCAGCGCTCAGGGGGCCGAGAGCGCAAGCCTCGTCCGTCCAGCCTCGCTCACCAGAGCTGGCTCCAGCAGCCGGCCTCAGCCCTCCGGAGACGCTTCGCCCGCGCCAGCCCTGGCCGAGGTGTTTCCTACCGACAGCCCCCGCGAGGCCCTGGCTTCCCTCCCTCTCGCGATTGCAGAGTGACTTGCAGGCCGCCCCTCGCTCGGCCCCTCGGGCGGTGTCCCCTGACCTCGCAGGTGGGGAACTGCTGCAGGGGGGTGGGGGAGGAGGGTGTTCCGAGTGCCCAGCCGCCCGCCCCCCGCACTGGGTTTGTGGAAGTCGCTGCTTGGTTTGGCTCCAGAAGCCCGGGGCTCGGCAGGCGCGGCTCGGATGTCCCAGCGGGTCCCCGAGGCCTGACCACGCTGGCACCCCGGGGTGTCCTCCCGGGAAGGCGTGAGCAGAGGCAGTCTGCGGGGCTCTACGCAGCAGACCACCGCGGAGCCTGGGCGGACCGTGAGCGGGCCGGGAGGGGCACCCGGCTCGCTTCCTGTGCAAAGGTGGCGCCCGCCGGGCCGGGCTTGGTGCCGGGGCCTCGTCTCCCACGAGGACCTCCCCTGGGTCTGGGGAGGCTCGCGCACCCTTCGGGAGCCTGAGGGGCGGCATCCCTGGGTGCCCGCCCCCTGCGCAACTCGGCCGGCGGCTTCAGCCTGAGTGCCCCTTGGAGCCCATCGGGCCTCAGGCCCGGCACCCTCACCCGTCACCCCAGCACACGCTCTCCCATCCGGCCTCCCAGGTCCGGACGGCCGCACCTCTGCCCTGCGGTCTCTTCCTCCAGGCACACCGGTCAGGCTCCTGACCGTGTGGCTCCGGCCGGCCTCCGCCCTGCTCGCCTCACCGCAGGGAGGCCGGGGCGGGGCCAGAGGCCGCTGGCTGACAGCAGAAGGGCAGCGAGGCCCTGCGGGGGCTGAGGGTCAAAACCGGGGTGTGGGAGGCCGGCCCCAGGGACCCCTCCGAGGGAGCACCGCCCTCGCCTGTCCCTGGCTCTCGGGGCCCTGCCGATGTTGGGGACCCAGCTGATGGTGGTGCACCCCCTCTGCCCTGGA